ACACACACACACACACACACACACACACACACACACACACACACACAAGAGAGACAGAGGAGTTAACAGTTTCCAGTTATACATACTCGTTTGCCACCACCGATCTAAAACAATTTTTTAGGGTTTTACTGTTTTAAATGATGACGACGATACATTAAAATACATACTGGCTGTGAAGAGATCTCGTCGTAGCACGATACCGATGTTAGAGATAGTGCACAACATCATAGTCCTCTTTCTATGCAAAAATGCATTTAATAGTTAGGCAGAAGCTAATATGAGGCTTCAGGAGTCTGACTTACAAATCAAATGTCTATCTTCCAAAGTTACAGTCTTTGTAACTTGTATAATCCTCTTTACATTACCATCTCTAACTGCATCTCAATAATGAAACACAGACTGTAACTTTGACAGTTACCCACTTGATTTGTCTAAATGAGACTACCGAAGCCTCATATTGACTTACTGAATTTAAAATGCATTTTGGCAGAAAACAAGTACGTTTGATTTTGTCCCACATCTCTTACATTGAAATTGTGACATAACTTCAGGGCCAGTATAGACAGAATAATAATAATAATAATAATAATAATAATAACTCTTTCAATGTAGGCATGTAAGCATTATTTTATCCTAAACAAAAAAAACTGTTTTTTCTCCACATGTTTACCATATTCATATTTTGTTTTTAATTATTTTTTGGTGGAGAAACATGATCACAGCGTCACATCACTCTTACAATAATGATTTTGCTTATTTTTACAGTGGAAAAGATCATTTTAGAACAGAAACAAACATCACTGAAGAAGTGCTGGGTACATTTTCCTCTATTATTATATTAGATAATATTAAGTATATTTATTTTCACCTTCTAGAATCTTATATTCTTAGACTATTTTACTTGGTGCTTACTCACACACACACACACACACACACACACACACACACACACACACACACACACACACACACACACAGTCCTACTTGTTATGCCTCCAGGCCGCTGGTGTGTGTTGGTGTTGGAGAAGATGGTGGTGGATGAGAAGCCCTTGTTGAAGTCCGGGATGATCTGAGTGGGGTCGGGACAGTAACGGCCCTGAGTCAAGGCGGCAGACATCCCTCCATCTGCGTTGCTTGGACACAGATCTGTAACGTCTATTGCTGCTGCTGCTGCTTCTTTGGCGGACTTCTTATGCTTGCAACAGGCACACCCCATAATAACCAGCACGGAGACGACGTCTGTGAAAGCAAGCAGAGTTAAAGAAACATGCCACAACTTTTTCAATATGTAAATGTCAATTTGCTTGATGCTTTAAAGATTAGATAACAACAAAAGGTTTGTTTAGAATAAAATATAAGAAACATAAATTAAATATTAACCTGTTTAAAGGGATACTCAAGAGATTTAGTATTTCACTTCCATAAAAAAACATTGTCAAAATTGAAGCAGTAGAGGCCCAGATATCCTGTCTTTTAGTGCCTCGTATGAGTAATGCCTCAGAAACACCAGATACTACATTTCCCATAATGCAACTTGATTTTTCCTGCGAGAACACCCCTTTCAAACTCCACACCTCCAGTTTGTCGCAGTGGCGTTTTGTTAGTAATTTTACTTCTGAAGTCCGATAACCCTGATGACATCACTATGACATCATCGGGGTTATTTTTTTTTTTTACTTTTGAATTACACAAGTGTCTTCACAGGCTGAGCTGTACTGGACTTCATGTGTACATCTGGTGGAGTGTCCCTTCAATGAAATCATTTCTCACCTATTTAATTAAATACATTATCACTGCTCACAAAATAAAAGAATCTTGTGGATTATCACAAGATTCAACATAATCAACACAATAAGTACGTTTCAGCGTTTAGACTTCAAACACAAGGGTGTAGAAAGTGAAAGCAGCCGACATCAACAGTATGCAGAGGGTCACTAAACCAAAGAGAACTGTTCAGAGAGAAGTTGCAAAGTTTTAAATATAAACTTTACTTCCCCCAAGCAGGAGGAGGAAGGGCGGAAATGGGGTTGGAGATACAGTAAGGCGGGAAAGAGAAGTGAACTTTTTCTCACCTGATGTCTTCCTCTGTCAGATCATCTGTCAATCACCATCGCCACTGAAAAAAAAAAAAAA